CCAGTAATGTGAATATAGAGGTCAGTATAACTGATATAACAGTGTTGAAATAAGCTGATTACTTTTGGAATATTGGGAGAAAAAATGAGTGTATAACTGCTATTGTGCAGCTAAGTTAAAAGCCTGACACCATAGTTCACACTGTGGCTTGAGGGTGGCCCTAACTGGACGCCATCATCGTGTCCAGAACAGAAAGGGTTAACACTGCAAGAGTAATTAATTGTTCTCAGTAAAACCCTGTTTCCATCTGCTAGTAGCATTTTTTCCCAGATTAAGGGATAGTTTGTGTCAGTGCAGGTGTAAATGCACAGAGAATGTAATGCAATTGGAATGTGAGCGGACCGGTCAGCCTGGCTCATATTTATCACCTCATTCAAGTGTAAATGCAATTTGTACAGTTTGGTTGCATTCTTTAGGAAAAAAAAGTTCAAAGAGCTAATTTCACCTCTTCCATCAAATGGCTACGTTCTCTTCCTCTGAAGGGGAACAATAACATCTTTAAAGGACTGTGGGGTGACACTTAGGATGTGCAAGATGAGGGTCACATGACCAGTAGGAACTGAACTAGCATCTCCATTGGCTTTGTTTACCATGAGTAACCTTAGTAACATATAGATGATTTTGACTGTCTCTGTCTCACTGTAGCAGCCCCTCAAGAGTCTCTTGCATTGCTTCCTTTCACCTGCTGTTTGTTTTCTTTAGAGTCATTTGCTAGCATAAAATGATTTTGACTGTCAGATCTATATCCTTTTCCAGTTGTGTTTATCCTTAGTCAGTATTTACTCAGTATTAGATTATTATGTGAGAAAAAATCTGTTATTAGCCTCTGTTTTACCAATTCTCATCTAGAAAAAAAAACAAATTATTAAATTTAATGTATCATTGTTTAGTCTCAATTGTGTGTTGCCCACTGATTCAGCATGTTTAGTCTTGCTCTTTTAACTATTTTCATTTTAGACTACATCAACAAAGGCTCACATTCATCCTACAGGCTTGAACAAATTTTGTGGAATGGGACTCCCCGAGGAAGTTCGGTGTACAGTGAAATCCCTCTAATTTATTTGGTAAATGTCTATTCCATCTACTTTCACTGTACTACTTGGGAGAAAACTGGTCTCCTGTCAAACTGTAAATGGTCGTCTCTACTCTCAGATCACCACTTACTGTATTTGTTGTCATTTCTTCAACCAAGAAGATCAGCTCACACTGTTGAAGAGTGTAAATGGATTTTAAAAAAAGTAATTATTCATGAGAAAATAACCCCATCAAAGTCCATGTGGGGTTTCGTGTTTGCTGTGCAGGTTTGTGCCAGACTCCTTTTCCTATGTGTAACCTGTCTGGACTAGAATAGATTCAGGCCAGTGCTTTTGTTCTTTTGTTTTGTTGTTTCATTCTGAATAACCTCCACTAAGGGGTGAAAATAAAAGCTTTAAGTAGGAATGAATCATCAAGTTAATGTTGTCTTCCCCTGAAAATAGCAGTCTCAGTGTGGCAGCTGGTCACACACATACAGTACACATCTACGTGTATACCTAGCTACTTAGCTACTTGCAGTGCTAGATCAGATTTTTAAATAACATGGCTAGACATCATATTAGCATCACAAAGAAGCATCCATTATTTCAATGTACTGTGGTTGCTATTAATGACCCAGTCTTTTTTTTTTTTTTTTTTACAAATAAAGCCACTTGCTCCCACAGTGTTACACTTCTCACTTTATTGGCTCTATTTGTTTTTGAGGTCCTTATTTTTCAGTTTTTTTCTGCCTCCATACTTGCCAATATTTACAGCACTGGCAATAAACATGGTCACTGCATGCCAATCATGTGCTGCCACGCTGTCCAATATTAGTATACTAGACTGTTTAACAATGTTTAACACCTATTTCTGCAATATGATATGCTAGAATTCACAAGGAGTTTAATGTTGAAAGTATGCATGAATTGTGGGCTGACTATATCGTGGTTTAAAGGCAGACAGAAGTGACAATTGTGCTACTAAACCTGGTGATAACTGACATTTTGTACCAACAAAATCCTTTTTATTGAGTCTTTCTCCCTGATGTTTATGTTCATGTTTCAATACCTCCTCAAACTACTTCAATCAACTATCTAGAGCACAGTAAAACTCCTAAAGTGATCGTTAAGGCTGTGTGACCCAGCCCAGCTATTATTCAGTGGCGGAAATACTCTAGAACGGGGTAAATGAGTGTGAATAAAGATTTTTTCTTTTCTGTTTTGTAAATGAATGCAGCACTTGAAGATAAAATGTGTAGATATGCTTTTTCTGTGGCTGTGTCAGTGGATGAATTAATCATTACATCAGATGTGATATTTGGTCAGTGTACATAGAGCCATAAAGTATTTCAGCAAACGTTACTGGTTGAACTTCTATAAGAATTGCTAACTTTTAGTGCTTTTTGAGGTGAAAGGTGCACTCTGCCTTTTCATGCGACACAGTTATTTTCAGTTAATAGCTTATTGTATTTGGACTATAACTATCCTTTTAACACATGAAATCTCCATGTTGCAGTTGCTTTGTTAAGAGCTGATTGCAGAGTCTAAGGTCAAGGTACTCCTCACCTGAAACTGACCACACAAACCCAGTTTGTTGGGCTGCCAGTCTTTTACTATTCAAGACAAGAGGCGTATTGATCCAGAGGATTCTCTTAAGTGCTGTAGTTTGTCCTCTGAGGGTGGAGCTGAAGGCTTGGAATGAAGAAGTAAACAGGCATTGATATATAAAACACCTAGGTCAACATAGCCATTTCACCCATTAACCTGAAGCAGGTTTGGCCATTCTGTGATATTACACAGTGTGTGTGTTTGTATGTGTAGTGTGCCTGTGTGTGTGTGTGGAAGTAGGCAGACCTGTTACTCGGAACACACTGAGCTTGGTCATTCAGAGTTCAGAAAAGTTTGACTGAATTGACTGTAGCTGGATGAACCAATAATAGTGGATGTTTTGTATTTGTGTGAGGTATTTACATCAGACTGTGCTTACATTTGTCATTCCCTTTTCCCTCTTCTGACATAAACTTTCATCATGTTGTGTTAAAATTGTGTTTATTAGTTCTTACTACAACTCTAAAAAATAGCATGTTGAACTGCCTCACTGATAGTGGCTTTAACTGTCATGCACATTTCCTTTGCATTTATGTATTTGAAAAGCTTGGGGTTAAACTAAGATCCTAACTGATTGATCCTAACTGTTTCTGGTTTTACTCATGAGCACATTGCAAGCAAAAAGTACTTCCAACCAAATCCACCAAAGGTCAGAGGTGAGGGTCAGGGGTCAGAGAGGTGTGGCCTCAAAGCTGGAGACTCCCCCAGGTTTACACAAGTGTAAAAAGAGTCCATTCAGTCTGGCTGCATGAGCAGAGTTTGACAAAGGTCCACTGTGTGGCGCCTATTACCCCCCCCAATACACACGCAAACACACACTCTACACATTCATGTACACAAACCTACACAGGACACAGACAATGAGAGGTCTCTGGTCAGCAGAACCACATACATAACTTGGAATACCTTCCTCCATTAAAGCAGAAATGTCACACAGGTTTGCTTGTTCAATGATGTTTTAGTTGGCAGTTATTGTGGAATGGATTTACCAGTTCCCTCTTTTACAAACAACTATTCTAACCTCCTGTTATGCAGCACTTTTGAAATGTTACATGCTGCTACACTGTAGGAAGAAAAATAGCTTTGAAAGAATGGTAAGACAAAAACATGCAGGACATAATGCATAAATTAAATGGTAAAATCAACAGCCAAAAATGATAATATAAAAATTGGTAAACAACAGAAACTTTAAAAGATTTTACTTCACTGCAGTTTTTTCTTATTGACAACAAGACACCTCATGAAAACATCAAACCCAAGAATGTTTGTCTGTCAGTACCTTTTATACCTGTTAGTGGTGATCAACCCCGGGTTTACTGTATTTATTCCTGCTAAAGCTGTAGATTAACATTCACATATAGTTTCATTTTTAATATAGACTCAGACTATTTTCAGGGGCTGATGTGCTCTAAAGTCCATTCACAGCTGCAACACAGCGAATGTGAAATTTACTTGAAATAAACTACAGATCCTATACTTGTGATAATGAGGACTGTGTCATTCAACTCAGTGGAGGTCTGTGACACAGAAGAATAGGATATATAGCTAATAGTTTGATAATGTTGATCTGGCTGTTCTAAGTAATTTCAGTATTATGTGAAACTCTGATCTTATCACATATCCGGTGTATGCTTTGAATACTTAGAGTAATAACCACAAACATTTAGTGGTAGAGCACTTCTTGTGAGCAAAACTTCACTTTTACTAGACATGCAGTAACTGCTTTGGCAAATCCAGCAGTAATTTTGTCATTACTCCTAATTGTGTATATTTGTGTATATTCAACTTTTTTTATTTTAAATGGAACACCAAGGGTTATGGAAATAACCTAGAAAAATAATATTTATAAAGACAGAATGGAAACACGTGTTCACTATAGCTAGCCAATCTCTGAACCACGGAGAAGCCCCTTTGAACACACTGGCAGTTAATGGTCCCATTTTTTATGCCAGCTACAAATCTAAACTTCCTACAAGTATCTCATTTTTTCTAACTCTGTGTTATTTTAAAGTGCAGTGGTGATCTGGTTTTTATAATTTAGCCCTCATCTTCCTTTCCCTTAGTAAAAGGGTGGATTATATCTTTATCCTTGGGTAAGCCTGCACAGCACGCAGCTCAAAGGTAATGAAGCACTCTGATCTCTCCCCAGATGAATCTAAAAATTCCCAGAGCACCACTGTATTTTAAGGGAAATGAGATTTTCCTGAAAGCCTCCTTCAAACCTATGCTTTTCATTTGGAACCAGCTAAAAACTGGGACTGCTTACAACCTGGGTGCAAGGACCCAGACCTGTTGCTATTCAAAAAACAAAGGGTGAAAAATAGAAAGCCAGAGTTTTGACTTGTAGTATTTTTTGCTAATGAAATGTGCCTTTATGATATGACATTGAAAACTGCTTAGAAACTAAATCTAGACCAACATTAAAACATTTCCTAATCAGAATGGATTATGTTGCCCACTAAATTAACTGAGCTTTGAATCATTTTTCAGTTTGTCACAATGCAATTTATTTTGGCGATTGGACTAGATTTAATGGAGCTTTACTGATATCAGTGGGGGACAGTAGGTCATTGCAGCAGTGGCAGATAGGATGTTAAAGAGTATAACATACATTATTCACACATGACAAACTAGCTCTTGAGTCATGTTGTCTACCATGACTACTCTCAAAGATGGGTCAGAAAGCCCACTGTCATAGTATCTCTCTGGCTGGATCCCGCTGCCTCGCCAATTTCTCCACTGGAACTCTGTGACTTTTGTAATTCTTTGAAGTCTCAGCGTGAAAAATCAAACAGCGTCTCTTTGTGGCATTCATGCTGTTGCACATGGTTGTACACACCAGAAGTGACAGCAGTATTTGCTGGAAGAATAAAAAGAAAAAGGTGGACAGAGAATTTCAAACCCTGTCTTACTGTCACATTTCTGACCACCTGGCCAGTCACTGATTGACAGTAAAACCAGTTCAGAAACCAAAATAAAGAATGAGCTGACTCAGAATGACCAATGCAAAGTAGAAGTGAATGACTATATCACAGAGGTAGTAAAAAAAAACCTTTGTTGCAGCTGTAGTTGAACTGAACCAGAGCACAAACCCATGCTAAAGCTTTGGTATGGAAAGCATTTCTGTCGGTTGCTTGATGTCAGTCAAAAGACTTTTTCAGGTGAGAACACTAAAGAACAATGTGGACTGTAGACTTTATGCCATGGCTACACGACACCTACAATACCATTGTTTTTAAATACCAATATTTAATATCTTCTCCTAAGCAGATCCCCACAGACTGGAGCATGCTGTCAACAGGTGCTGATTGATTGAGCACACTGAGTGATCTTTTGCAGACACAAACGACCCCACCCTCCCCCGAGATATTCTACTGTGACCTGACTTGTCCATTCCTTTGGACTCAGTCAGCGGAGTGCTAATGTGAGTCTGAGGCTTGAAGGTGGCTAAACTCATCATCTTGGCTGATGAGGCACTTCCAGTTTGTTGGTATCACTGCAGTTGTGTTGTAAATTGTGCTTGCACCATCCTGCAAAGCTCATTATTTAATCCCCCTATCTGCCAGCAGCAGGTCAAAATTTTATCTATTTATCAGTCAATATCTCAACACCTAGTAGATAAAGCACAGACATTCATGGTTCATGATATATTCTCCTCTTTCTTTGAAATGTTGGACTTACAAGGAGCACTTAAAGGCAACATAACAGATTTAAAATGTAGGTAAATTAAACCATTGGCTAAAAGATTGGTCCAGTCAGTGATCAGCATTAAGACAAAACATTCAATTCAAATGCTTTTCTAATGTTTTTGCCTGTGAAACATTTCAAACCACTTGGCCAGAACGCGTGCTGAAACAAACGATCAGTTATTGCATCTTAAACCTGGCTTAAAAGTGGGTTAATACAAAGAATTTTACTTTGTTGTCACAATAATTCTAGCAGTGCTTCTGTGCCATTGACCAACACTGCAGGTCCACTATTTCTAAAAATAAGTGTTGACCCATTTTGTCACAATTGGTCATATGCCAGGGTCAGCATTTCCAGGCGTGATGATTCTGAACTTTGGTAAAGTTTAACATCATGCACCTAAGTTATAAATAGCATAGTTCCCTACATACAGTAGCTTTATAGAAAATGTTTTTCCTGACTTTTCATGTTTTAACATTTTGTTGTCACATAATTAAAATGGTGGTAGCCCTTTGAACTGAGAAAAAAAATTGCTGAAAAGATGATGATGGTGGTGGTAGTGGGGGGTCCGTGTTCCCTATAAGAACGCCAAACAATTAAGTCAGCCCTTTGCTGGAGTTTGACAAGTGAAGGCTTAATGTGCATTCAAACAGCTGGAGGGAGGGCACTGTCGCTCACCTTTCACTGTCTTACTGTACTCTACCACAGCCGTTTGACATGAGACTGCCCCCTAGGTGTCTCGCTTTCTCAGTGTTTGTATGGGTTAGAGCGCAGCGCCGGCAACCCGCCTGCCTGCTGCTCGTCTGGCTGGCTGGCTGCGTTGACGTCAGCACCGTGTTGATTTGCTAAGGCGAGAGAAGAAAGGAGTTAGTGCGTGTTGAGAGAGCGGGTACTGCGAACTGCCTTACTATGCTGTAGCCCCAATCCCCCCTGCACTATACGGAATCAGAACGTGCAACTTAGGTGAGTACCAATCCATGCTAAACGAAGCTGCAGTTTCCCGGTGACAAGTGCCAGACCCGCTACTCTGCATGCGTTTAAACCTGTTTTCTCTGTATACTTTCATTCACCATATGGATGTTTGGATGCATTTGTAGCGCTGGGGAACCTTTTTGCATGTCCCTGTCCAAGCTCACGTTGAAGTTAACAGTAAACGCGACTTTGGCACGCAAGTTGGATCTGCGCACCAGAGTGCTGGATGGAAACAAATGTTCACTTGATTGCGCTGCAAGGTGTTGAAGTTTGCATTTACGCACGGCAGCCTATTGTAGAGATGTTAAGGTTGACGTAACCCCCCACCCTCCCACCCCCCAGTCTGTTTTAGTATGCTGGAGATCGCAGCCAGAGGACGTGAGGTCTGGCTGTTTCACCGGGAGCCAGACAACATATGACGCCTCGCTCCATGTGACTTTACTGGAGAAATTGCGTGTGCTCGTTTTGATGGAAATTATGCAATTTTTAGACAGCGACACTGTTGCCGTTCCTGTGTTTCCAGACGCACCAGTGTAGCTCATTTAGCCGTGATGACATCATGATGTGGACTGTAGACCGTAGTCTTTATACTCGAAACAAGCCCACTCCACGTATAGTCAGACTATAATTGATTGACAGGCGACTGGATGTTTTATTGGTTCCCAATAATCGACTTGCAGTAGCACGCACAGCATGGGGAACTGCTAACAGATGCCAGATCCAATGGCAAATTGATTTGTTATCGAGACGGTCTGATCTGTCTTCCCCCTTTCACTCATTCTCTTTATCCTTTTGGCAGCTTTCTGTAAATTATACCTAATTCACCTTAATTGTAACGAGCCAGGATTTGAGTATCTCATCCTGCCTTAAACAAAGTCCACCTGTGTCTTGATCAAGAGCTTGAATCGGCGAGAGATTCTGGCAGCTGTCTGTCTCGTGTATACTTTTTAAAGCAGGCTCTGTCTCTGATTGCCCCTTTTAGAGACGGCGTTTAGCGTTTTGCTCTCCACACATTTGCGTCTGTCATTGCCGCTTATGGTTTGGAATATTGAATGATGTTTATTTTTAGTTGTGGCTGGATCGCCAAGGCGCGCTATATGGCAGACAACTCGTGATCAGATTGATTATGCTGCCTTTCCGTGAAGTCGACCTAATGTGGTTATTGTCAGTGGTCTACATTGTCCTCCGGGGAGGAAATTTCTCCTGGCTTAATGTACTTAATGTAGTGAGTGATGTTTTGCATAATGCATAACGCTGCGTATAATTTGTCTGCTGCGGATGGCCAATAAAAAGGTTGTCTAGACGCACACAACCCTGTCCTTTATTAATAGACAACTAACCTACGCGGTGAAGTCCCCACACAGCAACTTTACATTGTGTCCCAGTGAAACCACAGCTTGGTTGATATCCGACAGAGCGCAACAATCATTGATCATTAACGGGGCCATAAATCGCAGCTATTGGCATAGCCTACCTGTAATAAAGATAATATGTCGGATTTTAGGCATGACCTCTGTTGACTGAGGGGCTAAGCTCCGTTAAACGTGATTTCATCATTGCCTATCCTATATCGATTTTGTCAACGTGCCGAAAAGACAAACTGTTCAGTGCCCCAAAACGCGGCAGGATTGTTTATTTGCCATGGTCCTCGCCAGAAACAATAGCTGCCAGCAGCATTTACCTTGTCTGTTGGCTTAAACTTGTGTGATTGTAGGTTTTTAAAGTAAGCTGGGAGTTTTTTCTTCTTGTAGCTGTCCTGTCGGTAGGCTGATGATATTTCCTCTTGTGTCTGTGCATTGTTCTCAAGCAAGTAGGAAGGAAAAGAAGTGTTCAGAAAGTCCTTTTTTTAAATTAATTACTTTAGAAAGGAAAATTAAGCTTCTTGCAAATAAAGTAGAAGAATAAAGAAAATGATCAAAAATTAAAATGAACAATTCTTAAAAAACAGATCAAGATGAACATAATTAAATAATCTAACAACTTGTGTCATTGTAAACTGGGTATGTAGACTAGATGGAATAGATTTAAAAACTGGCCATAATGAGCTGGTCCTCAATGTGGGTCTGTGGAGACAGTCTGCTTATAGCCATTCATTCATATATAGTATATGTAGTGATGAGACTGTTTGTTTATTTAATTTGAATAATGGAGAGATAATTATTTTAGTGCTGGTCAAGAAATAAGGTGGAGTGATACATTCCCCAGTTAACTTCAATAATCATGTTGATAGGAGTCGCAGAGATGATGCATGTGCATATAGTGGTGAAACAATTTAATTTAAGCCTTATTCATTATTTGAGTGTGGGTCAAAGTATGCTGTAGATGTGAGGCGGAGCAACATGTTGCCCTGTTAACTTGAATAATGAAGTTAATAACAGCAGTCACAATGACAATCATTCATTTGAGATTTTCAACATTAGTGACTGAGAGCCGAGCAGGGTGTTTAGTGTGGCAGCATTGTGTGCTTTCGCCTCTTCCTGCTTTCCTTTCCACTTATTTCTGGCCGCTGCTCTCTGCTCCTGTTTGTGATGGGAATACTGAGTAAGATGCTATTTAATTTCAGAAAGGCTTCTGATGGGCTTTGTGAAGCAAGTAATAGCAGAAAAAACACAATTCACACTTGTTTAACTGGTGTACGTCCTCATCAGATAACCAAATGAAAACATCTTTTTACCATAACATATGTTGGACTGATTGGTATGCAGGGTGAGCCTGTTGGATGGCTCACAAATTCTCTCTCTTCAGAGATCTACAGTCACTACTCTCCACTGATTTTAAGAACAATACCCCTGCACAGTGTTTACCATCCCTGCAGGATACTTGCAATTTGAAACTCCACTGACTATATACTTGCCATTTAAAAGCATGTGTGGTACTCTTTTAATAAATTTAACAAATTATTATGTTTTTTTAATTTTAGGAATGTAATTTATGAACGTGCTTTGTATACTTTTGCAAACGATAACTGTGAAATCAGACATTTTTTGCATTACCTTTAAAAAGAGTGTTCATTGAATAAAAAATGGACGATTTTTTTTTTTTTGAAAGTGTAAAGACTATTTGACTTGCTGTGCACAACAAGAACTGATTATAGAAGTGATTTTTAAAAAAATTGTGTTTTCCCATCTAGGTTTCATCTTGTTTACAAACTGCTAAAAACACTGCTGAGCGGGGAAGGTGAGCCTCATGAGTCGGCTTCGTGGATTGCATCGGCATAATGGATTTAAATAAAATGGGTATGATCCAGCTCCAGAACCCCAACCACCCCACTGCTCTGCTTCAGAAGGCCAACCAGATGCGTCTGGCTGGGACTCTGTGTGATGTGGTCATCATGGTAGACAACCAGGAGTTCCATGCTCACCGGACTGTGCTAGCCTGCACCAGCAAAATGTTTGAGATCCTCTTTCACCGCAGTAGCCAGCATTACACCCTGGACTTTCTATCACCAAAGACGTTTCAGCAGATTTTAGAGTATGCTTACACTGCCACTCTCCAGGCCAAGGTGGAGGACTTAGATGACCTTCTGTATGCAGCAGAGATCCTGGAAATTGAGTACTTGGAAGAGCAATGCCTCAAGATCCTGGAAACAATCCAATCCTCAGACGAAAATGATGTTGATGTCAATGCTAATGATGGGAGCACAGAGGAGGATGATGAGCGCAAAGGCCACAGTGGAGCAAAAAACTCCATAAAACATTCCATGGAGAGTCCCTTTCTGTCGGGTACCCAGCAAGTCTCCACCATTGCTGGCATGGTGGACCAGAGTCCCTCGGTCTCCACCTCCTTTGGTGTCTCCACCCTGAGTCCTACCAAAGCTGCTGTGGACAGCCTGATGAGCATTGGCCAATCTCTGCTCCAGCAGGGCTTTGGTGGTGAACAACATATCCATGGCAACTCTCACCACCACCTAATGACTGAGATCAAGACTGAAATGATGCAAGTAGACATGGGTGGCAATGGTCATGACAGCCCTCAGAACATGGAGTCCAGCGCCTCTAGCAATGGAGAACGAAGCGGAGAGGACAGGAACCGAGATGGTCCTGGAACACCAACCAGGAGCAGTGTAATCACCAGTGCCCGCGAGCTGCATTACATCCGTGATGAAGGCATGGGTGACCCTCAAGCAGAAGTTAGCCAGATGGGGTTGGAGGCAATGGCTGGAATGACAGAGAAACATCTGGCCTCACTGTACTCCTTACCTGTCAATCATAAGTCAGATGCCCTCATGTCCATGCCGGCATCCATGGCCTCTACTCTTCCTATGTCCCCAGCCCTGGCTATGTCTATGGACTTTAGTGCCTACGGGGGACTCTTGCCTCAGAGCTTCATCCAGAGAGAATTCTTCAGCAAGCTTGGGGAGCTGGCAGTGGGCATGAAACCAGACGGCAGGAACCAGCATGAACGATGCAATGTTTGTGGTGCAGAACTGCCAGATAATGACGCTGTGGAGCAGCACAGGTAAGCCAAGTTTTCTTTTGAGTAACTGCTTGCTAATTGTTTTGGTCTTGCAATTTATGGTTGATTTTAGCCTTTCAGCACTGCTGAAATGTTTCAGTAAATCACACTATTTAATGGTGTATGCAGGATTACTTAGTGTGCATAATGTGCAGCTGAAAGTGAAAGTCACAAATCATATAGCCTCATACCCTTTTATATTAGGAACATGATTGTTTTCCCAGTTTTAATCACCTGTTTCTGGCTTTAGAATAAAATTGCAGTACATCTTTTGAATCCTTGGTTCATGGTGAAACCACCCATTTAGTATGTCAGTGATTCTAAAAATTAACAAAATAACCGATTCACACATCAGTTATATTTGAGTAAGTGACAGTCTTTGGTGGACACAAACCTTAGTTCTGTGTGGTTGGCAGCTCAGGCCCTGCCTAGGTGATGGCTTTAGTGGTGCTGTCGTAATGTTGTCTAAGACAATTAGTCACACCTTACAAGATGTGGGCAGCACCTAGCACCTATCACACACACTTACCAAACAGATACCCCTTCATGCTGGACCCAGCTCCCCTCCTTTCCCCCCATAACTGTAAAAAAAAAAAAAAAAAGGGGGGGGGGGGTATTTTTAGTTTTAAAAAGGTAGTTCTAGAGCAGGGGAGTAGCAGTAAACCAGCACAACCATTTTCCATTCAGTGCATAAAAACAGATGTTAAGGCCTGAACATATCTCTCCAGGTACTGAAACGTACCTGTAGACATTTTCAAAATTCTCCACGCATTTGGTATAGTATACATGTTGCAACTGTGTTCATCTCTGTGTCTGTCAAACGTTTATCAACCTTGTGGAATGTACTTGCATCATTTTCTTTGTGTATTTTGTGTTTTTGTGACTGGAGGCCTTTTCTTACATTGAAGGCCACCTTCTCACCTTGTAATGTTTGTTTAAATCAATAGGAATGCACAGTGGTTAAAGTTCACTTGAGGATTTGAACCCTATCACCCATCTCCTCATGTTTGAGCTAGTATGCATGGCTCAAAGCTGGACTGATTCAGTCCAAGCTAATCAGTCTCTAAATCTGTCTCCCTGTTGTCTTTAGAAAGTACTGAATATTACAGAATAGCTTTTACCCAAAAGAGAGGTGTCCTTGTTTGCAGCCTTACACCACATTATTGTGTAGTGTTTTATAGTGATTTTTGTAGTGTGTAGTGTTTTTATGATGTTGGGAGTTACCTCTAAATGTAAAAATGTGCGTGGCCTTGATTTTGAATGCTTAGTATTACTTGATTTTTAAAATAATCTACTTGAACTGACACTATGCATCATTTAGAAACTGCATCTGTAGAAGTGAATTTTGATCCGCTTATGATCAATTACTCCCAAACAGGCTTTAAAAAAGGCTTTTAAATGCTGGGTAAGATGTAGTTATGTAGTGTTACTGTGTTAGAGGACAGGCTACACTAGTGTCTGTCTTGAGAAAGGTCTGGTGTGTGAAATGGTTGCCTGTGTTTCAAGAGGAATTTCATCAATTCGCTCAAGCTGGGAAATCTTGTATCAAAGGAGATTTCCAAACTGTTTCATGCATTGATCTTCCTGCTTCACCCCATAGCATACTAATGGGTTAATTTAGACTGGTTGATACACCGACATGACACTGTTTAATATTGTACACGCTGTCCTGACAGCCCCCTGAAGTGTACAAATCAAACATTGCATCATCTGCTGTCTGCTTTGCCATCCGCACATGAAAGGTCTGCTGTACTACCCTGAGATGTCTGATAATTCGCACGCTCCTCGTGTCCTCACAAATTCCACCGAGGGTCATTTGATAGCATATCAAGTCCATGCCTTTTCTGTGTATAGCCTGTCAAGGTGCTGATTCATTTGATGCACAAGATGTTTTATTTCAGACAAGCGGAGTCATGTTCCCTCTGACTAATTACACATAATTTCCCCACAGCCACCGTGTCAGGGTCACCGCTGTCTCTCCAATAAATGCTTTAAAAAAAAGTTGGCAGAGTTCATTTAGTGCAGGCAGGTCAAGTCAAACATGAGTGTAATTGTTGCCAGATGCAGCACATGTCATTTGTGTGAGGTGTCTGTGTGTCTAGGTTAAAATGAATGCACCAGAAAGTACCCGCTTCCTGTATAAATGTAGTCTCTGCACTCTTTCATTCTTTTGTTCTCTGGATTTCATGATTAACAGCACCCAATATCATTTAATTCATTGTATATTAGCTGCATAAGTGATGTGTGAGGAGTCACCTGTGGGATACAGGCACAAGAAATAATAGGGCTCAGGTTCAAAACTTTAATTTTGCTTTCCTATCACAAAGTATTAAAAACTTGCAAGGAGATTGTAATTTTTTTGATCAAATAACTCATCAAATCTATATTTTGCTCACTTATGCTATGTGGGGAAAAGGTCTTGTATGGCAGCATATGTTTAGAAGTGTTGGCTTCTATAAAGGTAGCTATTAAAGATGTATAGTTTTAAAAATTGTGATAAACCGTGTGTACTGTATTAGCATTAATGCTGAAAATGTTCAAATAATATACAACCACATGTTGAAGTAAACCGTGCTAAATTAAGTGAATGTAAATGAAGGCACCTCAGGTTTTATTTACTCAATCTGAGTGATCCCTGTCTGACCACAACAACTTTTCCCCTCCATCTCTCTTCCAGCAATCCACCTCCCTACTGACAAGCCCTTGATTTATTTCTTGAAGGAAGCTCAGGGTGAGCATTGTTGCGGCTTCAGGGAGACAGGATTACAGCAATATTTTAGTAACCCTTGCACTGAGAAAATAATCAACACAGGAAGGGTGAGTGAATGATTATTGGGAAAATAAATGCATGATGTAGGGGGCCAATTCTGTAGAGGCGGGGGAAAGGAAAAAACCCTGTTTGCTGCTTGGTATTCCAAACACAGCATCCAATTCATGGGAACTAGCCTTGGGTTTATCTCTTTCACTTAATCGTCCATTCTCATGCAAATGGCTGACCCTTGCTGTAATGTACATCACATAAGTGAAAAAAGAGCCTATTTTAAAGGAGAGCTTTTCCAGCATATAGCTGTTAAACATTACTGAAAACCATCAATGCTTTCACTCTTTTCATAGTGCAGTCTGGGTTTTTTTTTTGTTTTTTTTTTGTTTTTTTTTTGAAGGGAGAGCATGAATGAGACAAAGCAATGAATCCCTGCCCATCCTTTCTGTTTTTGCTCATATTATTATTATTTTGTTACTGATGTAAATATTGGGGTGGGGTGTGTGAATAGGGGAAATGATCACCCCTGCATTAACCTCCGCACGCGCGCACACTCATGTGTTCATTGCTTTTCACACACATTCCCCTCAGCAGCAGCCAGCGCTCACTCTTCCATTTCCTCTCCTTTTGTGGCAAAGGGGGACGGTGGGCACTCTAATACCCCGGGCCCCAGGTGTTTAAACAGCCAACCGAGGGCCCTTATCTGTGCATATCAGAGAGGCACAGATAACCCTTGGCACTCCTCCTCAGTAAACCAAGAACAGATTGAGCCCAGATAGTGGCCCATAGTGTTTGTTGCAGGTGATAACGATGTATGCACACAACATACACACATACAGTAAACCCTGCCCACAGAGGTGAGGCCAGTAGAAGGTATACACGTTGTTTTCCTACACATTGACACTTGTGTGCTTTGGCCACTGTCAACCATTAACCGCTTTTTTACGTATGCACTCACTTCATGAGTAGCTGGGTTGTTGGGTTCACATGGCCGTCATGATGTGCGAGTGTCTTTGGACAGAGTACAACAAAAGGGTCTTAGATGCTGCTTGGAAATCTCTATTTGCATGGGATTTCAATACAGAAATCCCAGCTTGTCTCTTGGGAAGTAAAGCCAATATTTTACTTTCTCTGATGTGTTGCCGTTTTGTGAATAATCTCTCCACTATGGAGATATAAACGCTTAAAAAGAAGTTGTACTGCACAAATGCTTGATTGACTGGGGTCTCATCCTTTCACAGTCAGCTGGGGATGGGGGGAAAAAATTGGTGGGGGGGGGGGGTTCCACTTCCTCTTGTCTACTCAGTTCCAGGCTCTACCCTCTTTTCCTGAATTGCATTCTATAGCTGTGCTCCATTTGGCTGCGCAGGCATGCTGCTTACTGGCAAGGGTGAGGAAACGCTCTTAAATGGCGTGCAGGTGGCACATAAGGTTAGTGACGCTAATCTTCATCAGCTGATAAACAGTGGATGGTAATTTGATAGCAGTTCATGTTGAGGATACATCACAGGATGAACCAGATATCAATCCAAATAATGCCATCATAGCAGCTCTATAAGTTTCTGCACTTATCATACATCCCTTCACGTTAAGCAGCACAGTGTCTCTGCAGTGATTTACAATCAGAAGTTATGGGTTACTGGAAAGATATAGAGCCCACATTTTTGGACCACAAACTGAAAGCAATGGCAAGGTAAAGGTTATGACCTTTATGAGTGGATTCAATGTTACCAAACTATGTACAGCATATAAACTACACTATGTTTATCATCCTCGATTCAGGTCAAGCCATGTGGCTCATGCTGTTTTTGTGCTGAATTTAAATGGGGTGGAAACCACACCCATTGCCTGTGTTGGTCAGGCCCTTGGAGGGCACCCTGTGGCTCTGTTTAACTATATAGATTTTCAGTAGGCAAATTAATGCTCCAAAAACCTGAAAGGATATTTTTGTGACAGTTACTGTATGTTTTTCATTAAGCAAAAGTTATTTTTGATCTGATAGAGGCTGCCATAAAATAGATGATTTGGTGAGTTACTCGAGAGGGCTAGCAATTTAAATAAAAGGAAAAGCCTGTCAAAAATTCAGCTGTGGAAAAACATTTCTCCGATTTGTAGTCTGTGTTTTTCTGTTTGGACCCGGTATGAACTGAATGGATTTTGATGGTGCTGCTCTTGGTTTGAAAACACTGTTAGGATGTCAGTCAAACAAACGATAGCCGCACCAATTTAGTGACCACAGTAG